GCATGGGCATGGGCTCCGTGCCGTCGCTGCCGACCCCGCAGGGCCTGAGGCCGCAGGCCCACGGGCCCGCCCACGCTTCCCGCGCCTCCCCTCCCCCCGCCCCGTTGCCGTCCCTTCCTCCGCTCCACTCCTGCATCCGTCCTTTCCCCCCCTCCCCCCTCTCCCTCGATTTCTCCACGCCTCCTGCCTTCCCCTCGGGCCTCCATCCCTTCCCCTCTGCCTCCATTCCTCCTGCCCCTCCTGCATCTGTCCCTCCCTCCCCCCCTGTTCTCCCGACCTTCCCTCACTCCTCCTGCCCTCTCTCCTGCATCCATCCCTCCCCCCCTCCTCTCCCTCCATTTCTCGCATTCTCATGCTCATCCTCTTGCCCCCATCCCTCCCCCACCTTTCCCTCCATTTCTCCACTCCTCCTGCTCCTCCATTCCTCAATTTTTCCTCCTCCCTCCTCATCGTCCTCCCTCCTCCTCCTCCTCCTCCTCCTCCTCCTCCTCATTCCTCCTCCTCCTTTTTCCTCGTCCTCCTCGCCCTCGTCCTCCCTCGCCCCGCCGTGTTCCGCCTCGGTCTCCGTCTGCCCCTTGCTGCCAAAAGCAGATCGGTGGTGCGCTGCCGTCAGCAGCCGAGGAAGGGGGGGAGGGGGGGCAAGCCAGCATGGTGGTAGGCGGGCCGCTGCCCTCCACGGGGGCCCCCCCCTGCAGTGGGGCCCGCTCCGGCGCCCCCGAGCCGCCCTCGATGCCAGGCGAGAGGCCCGCGTCAGCACGCGGCGGGCGCCACGGGGACGCCGCCGGCCGCGGCAGGCACCGCAGACGCGCGACCAGAACGCACGAGAACCAGCAACTGCGACTGGCCCGTGCTCCGAGGTCCTCCGAAAGGGGCGCCAGAGAAAGTCACCACCCACCAAACCACCCCAACCCAACCCGAAGGTTCAGATTTACCCTCGATTTCTAGTTGGGGGGGGTCGGAAAACCTCGAAAAAACACGCGTGGAACCCTTACCCCCCCCAACCCGAAAATCGGGTCTTCGGGTTGGGTTGGGGTGGTCTGGTAGGTAGTCAGAAAGGCTCGGGTCAGACGGCGCACGATGCGTCTCGCCTGGGCCAGGGGCGCAGTCGCCTGCCGGGAGAAGGCCCGAGGGTTCCACCGGCCCCTGCCGTCGGTCGATCCCGGAGGGGCTGTGCACTCCCGCCCCCAGGCTCCGACATCGGCATGGGAGAAAACCACAACAATTCACTTGGAGACGCGATGACAGAACAGCCGGCGCCGACTCTTCTCCCCCGTCGGCGCCCGCGGGGGCACCCCTAATGAGGTCGGGGTTATCCCCGTCCTTGTTGCAGGTATCTCTCAAGCCCGGACGCGTTACCCGAAAAGCAGCCACGAGGAGGCTTGTGCACCTGCTTCATTTGAGGGGCGACCAAAACGGCCAGGACTCGAACCCGGCATCCTACGAGGATTGGGGAGGTGGAAGAAGGGAGAGAGGGATTGGGAAGGGCGCTTCTTCGGCCCAGGAGCGCAAGAACAGTCCAACTTGGAGTTAACCAGGGCCGTGCCGCAATTTCCCGAGAAGGAAGGTGGTAGGGGTGGCGAGGATCTAAACACCCTGCCACTGCCGAGATCCAACCTCCTTGGCTCGAACCTGGCTCGAGGAACTAGAGCGACGACGGCAGCCGAAGTGAGAACACGACAACAGCAGCAACAACAGCAACAACAACAACAACAGCAACATCAACAACAACAGCAACATCAACAACAACAGTCAGTCTAAGACTGTATGACTCTTACTTGCCTGCGTGTCATTCAAAACGAGTTCCCCACACCCTCGATACCCGCCCTTTTTGTCTTCGATCACACCCCCTTTGGGGGGATTATTTCTCTTTGCGGGGGGCGGTGGACTTAGACAGGCGGGCAAACCCGAACGGGCGGACAATCCTTCGTGGGCGTACATGTGCCCGCCATTGGAATTGGTGTGGGCCCTGCAAAAAGAGAAGGGGGAAAACGAGGGAGAGTGGGAGGAAGGGAGGGGGAGGGACGAAGGAAGAGGGAAAACGCCAGGAGAGAAGGAGCGAAGAGGGGGGCGGTTGATTAGAGGCAGAGAGAGAGAGAGAACCAAAACAATAAAGAGAGAGAAAGACATCTAAGAGAGGTAGGGAAAGAGAGAGAGAGGGGAGAGAGAGAGAGAGAGAGACATAAAGAGGGAGGGAGGAGGCAGGAGAGGGGAGGGAGAAGGGAGGAGAGAGAGGAGGGAGAGGGGATAGGGCATAGAGGTATGAGGATGAGGGAAGAGAGAAGGGAGGAGAGGAGGGAGGAGGGAGGAGGGAGAGGGAGGGGGAGCAGGAAGGTAAGAGCGTGAACAGTCCTAGGCGAAAGCGCCGCTCCTGAAGGAAATCTCGAGCGGGAACCCACGGCGGGCGGGCGATGCCCTTACGGGCGGGTCGGGCGGGTGGTTACTATGTAAATTGTAACGGTGTCCCTGGCGCAACGTGTTTCCTGAGCGTCGATTGCATGGAAAGCAGAGGCGAGAGCGCAATTCCTGAAGAAAACGTGAAGGGTACTCTGGCGGGAGCGGGGGTCTTCATTAATTAAGAGGAAGTCTCGATTCAATTGCGAGGAAGTCTCAAGCGGGAGCGCCCTTGATAAGTAAAGTGTGAGGAAGTCTCAGATGGGAGCGGGGGTCCTGATTAAATTGCGAGGAAGTCGTAGGCGGGAACACCGACCCTGAGTAAACTGTGAGGAAGTCTCAGGAGCGGGGGTCTTGAGTGAATTTGGAGGAAGTCTGCGGGAACCGTTATTGTTGCAATCCGGGGGGCCAGGGGCCCAGTTTGAGCAGGAAGACTTTCCTGTCAATAAACCGGATGCGAGCTTCGAGGGGCAGGTTTTGATAGAGAAAAGACAGTGTGCAACAATAGTTGTTCTTCTGCGTTGACAGTTCAACAACAACAACACCAACAACAGCAACAGCAACTGCAACAGCAACAGCAATAGCGACATCATCAACAACAACAGCCGCAGCAGCAGCAGCAACAACAGGAACAGCAACACCACCAACAACAAGGGCAACGGCAACGCCAAGAGCAAACCAACAACAACAACAACAACAGGAACCTGAACATAACATTCAACATCAACAGCAACACCACCACCAACAACACCGGCAACAACAACGATAACAGCAACAACAAACCTACCAACAACAGCAACAACATTAACATCAACAACCACAACAACATCAGCAACAACAACAATAACAGGTGGCCACTTTCCCCAGGGCGGGGGAGTGGGCCACGTCTAAACCCAACGCAAGGGGGGCAGCAATGCCGCGGGACGTTAGAGGAGGAGGAGGAGGAGGAGGAGGAGGAGGAGGAGGAGGAGGAGGAGGAGGAAGAGGACGACGAGGAGTAGGAGGAGGGGGAGGCTGCAATTGTGGGGTCGTTGGGAGCCACGTGGGAGTCTATCGGGAGCTTTTTGGGGCCTCGTGTGGCTTCCTGGAAGAGTTGGGGCACTCCTCGGGCCTCTTGGGGGTTCTTGGGATTTCCTGGAACCCGGTCGAAGCCGGGAGCTCGAGATGTTCATTCACGCATTTCCGTTGAGGCCTTCTCTCGGAGTTGTTTTTTGGGGTCGTTGTGGAGACATTTGGGCTCTTCCCGACCACTTCCCTAGAACCGTTTCATGAGGCCTCTCGGGGCCCCCTGGAGCAGTTATGAAGCCTTTGGGGGCTCGTTTGGGGGCCTCTTTGGGCGCCTTTGGGGCCTCTTGGGGGCATCTCGGACCTTCTGGGGGGGCGTCTTGAGACCTGGAGGATGCATATTAGGGCGGAAAGCTCGAATTGTAGGTTCGGGCTCCCGCTTTGGGTCCCTTCCGGAGGCCGTCTGGGGGCTCTCTTGGGCTGCCTTGTGCGCCTCTTGGTCCGTCTTGGGGCACTCTGAGCCTTCTTTGGGCTCTCTTGGGCCGTCTTGGGGCGGTCAGTCTTCAACGCCGTGAGGGCACGTTTCCCTTTCGGAATTAAAGGATGTGTGCCTCGTGGTGCCATTTTGGGAGGCCTTTGGGAGGCTTGGGGGGGCGTCTTGGGGGCATCTTGGGCCGTTTGGAGACCATCTTGGGGTCTTGGAGCGGTATTTCAGAGACTCGGGGCGGATATCTGGAGAGAAGAAGGGGGGAAGAGGGGGAGGAGGACGAGGAGGAGGAGGACGAGGAGGAGGAGGAGGAGGAGGCGGATGCGGAGGAGGTTGAGGAGGAGACGGACGAGGCGGACGAGGAGGAGGAGGACGAGGCGGCGGAGGAGTCGGAGGATGATGATGAGGAGGAGGAGCAGGAGCTCGGTAGGCAGGAGTCGGAGGATGCGGAGCCCTTGCGCATCTTGCCGACACGTGCCAGCGAGGAGGCCAGTACATCCGCCGATCTGAGCTTCGCTTCCCTGAGGTCAGTTTTTCGTCCTGTATCCATTTCTGATGGCCCCGGGGTCCAGGAACGGGCCCCAGAGGCCGAAATCAAGGGACCATGCCCGGAAAGATCCAAACTTGTCGTCGGAGATCCGAGGAGGAGGAGGAGGAGGAGGAGGAGGACGAGGAGGAGGAGATGCAGGAGGTGGCGGAGGAGGATGATGGGGC